TGGAGAAGCTCCTGTTGAAACACAGAGGAATTGGAACATGGAGAGGCGTCACAGAAGTGTGTAAAGTCTATATATATATATTACGCATTATTAATGAATAAGCAACCGATAGGTATCGATAATGGAGAAGTACAGACATCCCTGCATGCGGCTCGCCCTAAACCTCGGCTACCAGTCTCAAGGAACTATGTTCAGCGCCCGCACATTCAAGACTTCCTCACAGAGAAACTTCTCCGATCCTGTTCCTCATACATACAGCCTCGATGTGTATTACATGGCCTTGGCGGTAGCGGGAAAACACAGATTGCGTCATTCTGGATTGAAGCAAATAAAGACAAGTAGGTTACCTGGTGTACTCTTAACTTCGAGTATTGACATCTGATCAGGTTTACCGACATCATCTTTATTGATGCGAGCAGCCAGAAACAAATCGAGGCAGATCTGGAAACTGCGATCAAGTCGGTTGGCCCCGAATGGAATAAAGCGACATGGAAAGATGCAGTAGCTTACCTATCTACGGAGAAGGGATGGCTACTCTTCTTTGATAATGCAGATGCATCGGACCTTCGCCTCGAAGATTACCTCCCGTCCTCCACATCTGGAGCAATTCTCATAACAACAAGGAATTGGCATTATACGAGCTATGCCTCAGGCAGTCACATACAAGTTGGCGAGATGTCAGAGACAGAAGCCGTAGAGCTTCTCCACAAGGTTGGAAATGTCCAGCCATCATCGAATGGTACATCTGTGGCTATTGTGAAGGACCTAGGAATGTTGGCAGTTGCAATCACTCAAGCAGGAGCATATGTTTTCAAAACAGGAGAACTCGATAACTATTTGAATATCTTTCGAAAGCATCGAGCCGAGCTCATGCGGGAGCCATCCCTTAAAGGAAGAAACTACGATGGGTCCACATACACCACCTTTGATATGTCATTTGGGCTACTGCCCCCGAATGCGCAAGAGTTTATGAAGATCTGCGCGTTTGTTCACCATTCTCATATCCCACAAGCACTCTTCCAGAAATCTATCGACAATCATTTCGAATCTTGCTTCGATTTACCGGGGTATCCAACGATGCCTGCAATGGAGAACCTCATCTCGGGTCTCAAAGGGATCTTCGGATTGGCATGGGATGACTTCGTATTCCAGAGGCTGATCGATCCTATTTTGCAAGGCTCGTTAATCGATAGGTCCACCGACCATCACGAACAGGTCTTCTACAACATCCATCCCCTCCTTCAAACCTATATCCAAGATCTCCTTGTTCCAACCGATCAAGATCGTTATGTGCTCTTAACTGGGCAGGTACTTCTCGGTGGTATACGGCCCTCAGAGCATGACAACAAGTGGTATCGCGAGTTGTTGCCACATATAGACAACTTGCCGGTCAGAGTCAAACAGGCACACATATCTCATGCATGGGCATTTGCAGAAGTATATAGATCGACTGGAAGGTGGCGTGCCAGCCTTGGGCTGTGGAAATATTGCGATATTCACACTAGTGAAACTTTTGGACATCGTGATTATAGATCAATCTTCATGAAGGCTGAACTTGGAGCTATACTAGATAGATGTGGCGAGCTTGAAGAAGCTGAAAGAACCAAGCGTGGGGTTCTGGAGCTTCGAAAAGCGGTCCTAGGGCCACGACACCTTGATACAATTCAGGCGATGCATAGTCTTGCATACACACTCTATGGCGGTGGCCAATTCGAAGAGGCCGAGCGTATGGGACGGGAGGTCCTGGAGCTTCAAAAACAGATCCTAGGACCACAGCATCCCGATACAGTTCAAGTAATGCATAACCTTGCACCCACATTTCATGATCGTGGTCAATTCGAAGAGGCCGAGCGTATGGGACGGGGGGTCCTGGAACTTCGAAAACAGATCCTAGGACCAGAGCATCCCGATACAATTCAAGCAATGGATAACCTTGCACACACACTCTATGTCCGTGGTCAATTACAAGAGGCCGAGCGTATGGGACGGGAGGTCCTGGAGCTTCTAAAAGAGATCCTAGGACCAGAGCATCCCAATACAATTCAAGCAATGGATAACCTTGCATACACACTCTATGACCGTGGTCAATTACAAGAGGCCGAGCATATAAGGCGAGAGGTCCTACAACTTCGAAAACGGATCTTAGGACCACTTCATCCTTCTACAATCTGGGCGATGGGTAGTCTTGCGGACGTACTCAGCAGTCGTGATCAACTAAAAGAAGCCGAAACGATAAAACGAGAGGTTCTGGAACTTCTGGAACAGATCCTAGGACCACATCATCCCGATACAAATCACGCAATGCATAGCCTTGCATCCACATTCCGTGCCCGTGGTCAATTAGAAGAAGCCGAGCGTATGGGACGGGAGGTCCTGGAGCTTCGAAAAGATATTCTAGGACCATTGCATCCCTATACAATTCAAGCAATGGATAGCCTTACATCTACGTTCCGTGCCCGTGGTCAATTACAAGAGGCCGAGCGTATGGGACGGGGGGTCCTGGAGCTTCGAAAACAGATCCTAGGACCAGAGCATCCCAATACAATTCAAGCAATGGATAACCTTGCATACACACTCTATGACCGTGGTCAATTACAAGAGGCCGAGCATATAAGGCGAGAGGTCCTACAACTTCGAAAACGGATCTTAGGACCACTTCATCCTTCTACAATCTGGGCGATGGGTAGTCTTGCGGACGTACTCAGCAGTCGTGATCAACTAAAAGAAGCCGAAACGATAGAACGAGAGGCTCTGGAACTTCGAAAAACAGGTCCTAGGACTACAACATCCCGAAACAATTCAAGCGGTGCATAGCCTTGCATCCACATTCCGTGCCCGTGGTCAATTAGAAGAAGCTGAGCGTATGGGACGGGAGGTCCTGGAGCTTCGAAAAGATATTCTAGGACCATGGTATCCCGATACAATCTGGGCGATGCATAACCTTGCACCCACACTCGGTAGGCTTTTTCAATTGAAAGAGGCCGAGGAGATGATGCAGGAGGTCGTAGTTCTTCGAAAAGAGGTGCTAGGAGACCAAGACCCTGATACGACCAAGGCAATCGACGATCTTGCTTGGGCAAGTAAGTGGAGGATGTTATCCGAATATACGATTTATAGGATGCTCAAAGCTCTCACGCACTACCCATGCTGATTCGGGTTCCATATTCATCATTAACTAATATTTGCAACGTATATAAAGCAGCCGGTTGGTCGTGTGCCTGGGCTGTGCGAATCTTGCAATGTTCACCGTGATAAGGAACCCGACGGTATGAGTATATAACAACTTACATGGAGGACAATCCTGGAATGGGACGGAGTACGTGTATCAAGTTCGAAGAGGTCGAAAGGCTTGAGCGAGGTATTCTGAAGCTCCAAGAGAAGGGTCTAGGACAATGGAGTGCAGCCAGTCTGCAATGGAGGAACCCGCATTTAGGTAATCCAGCGAGAACGCTCATAAGGAAGCCGTGGATGAAACTGTGGATAGAGTTCTATTGTACATAATATAGAGCAGTGGATATCCTTTCTACGCGACATATAATCCTACACGATAGAACGAAGAGGGATAAAGTAGAGTGTATCTATGTGTAATAATTCGTATACTTGGTTGCTGCTTCTGGTATTGAAGGTCGGACGGGAATAGAGCTCGAGTTGTAGGATAAAGGGGATAGCTGAGACGAGTTCCGGCGCTCCTCGCCTCTTTTGATGAAGCTGAAGGGAAACTATCACCGCCGAACGACATCCATCTCCCAACTCTCTTCGTCCGGCCTACGACCACCTCGGTCTCTTGCACCCCCTTCATCCCATTCCTCCCTCGTCTGCACGGTCCACATTGAATCCCGAACCAACCTATCCACCTCCACCTCACTCCTCCGATAATGAGGATGATGGTGTTGGTTGTGGTGGTGACCCATAGCAGCGGTCGAGCTCGCCGGTTTCGTCGCCGTGCTAATCGTCGCGGCCGTAAACACGGGTTCACCCGAGTACCGGGACGTGGTGCGGCCCCTACTACTGCCAGCTGCACCACCATTCACGAGCGTACCGTGCGGACTTGCAACGACGCGCAAGTGTAGGACCATGCGAGAGACGAAGATAGAGGTGAGGGCCACGTCGGTGGTGACCGTCATCCACCAGTACGTAGGGGGTGCCACAATGACCTGCAAACAAAGGGTGAGCACTTTGAATGGGTAGAGAGAGCGTGTGCGTACAGTTAAACCTGCCCATAAGCGAACGACAATCATGCCCAGGAACCATAGGACGCCATCCGTGTAGAGGGTCTGAAGGAGCGGTGCCGGTTTGACGGGCGAGATGGCTCGGCGAATCCGCCAATAATGGAAGAGTTGTAAAGCGAGGATAAAAAATTCATATGGAATCTAATAATTTCAAAAATAAATGGAAAGAGGAGAGCGTAAGCGATAAAGTCGCGCGCCAGACGGCAGCAGGGTCAGCAAATAGCCGGCCGGCGAATGCGGGGACTCGAAAAGACACATCGATGTCCATCCAGAGGTGTGGGTGTGGTTCAACAAAGGACCACTTACTTGGATAAAATAGATCAACTTTGCCGCTTTGGGTGCGGCCGAGACGCAGAGTTTGAGGACGGGCGAAAAGATAATGGAGTCTGTTGGGTGGGCACGCAAGGGTCAGCTTCGCTTGCTTAATGAAATCGAACGACAGCTCGTAATTAGGAATATAAATAAAGACAAATGGAGATGTAGAGAGTGGAAGATGCTGTGGACGTACGAAACGGTTCTTGGACGGTCAAGGCGCCCATCGTCGCGTTCGCAATGTGCATGATGATGAAGGCGATCCATATGATCCAGCGAAGGACTTTGATGTGGTGCCAGAGAATGACGACTCGGAGTGTGACGAGCCATGTCGAGGTGATCATTTCGATTTCTCGAAGCACAAAGGCGACGAGCTCCACGCTTTGGCAACTGGTCGTCGTTAGCTGGGGACGCAAAAGAGGGCTAGTAATAGCACGTACAACTAGAAGGGATTAGCATGGGCCAGGATTCAAAAGTTATCCTTACAGATTTCGAAAACTTGAGATTCGGGGAGGCGAGGTCTGGCGTTTCGGTCAGCGAACCATCCGTGCTGGTCCCAACAAACTAAGAGACTCACAAACTACTACATATACCAAGTATGCTGGAGTATTGTAGCGGTTCTGCAGGTATCATAATGGGGATTGTGTATCGAAGTTTTGAAGGGAGGTCAATTCAACGCGTGCAGTCGATTCAGTCAGTGCCGGGTATTGAATGAGGCCGCCCAACGAGTATCAACAGCAGTGAGCATTTTTGCATTCTTTAAAAAAAGACTTTATACGCACAATGAGGTAGAGAGATTCGACGAGGGTCCATCTTCTTGACCAGATGTTCGTAACCTCCGTAGAGAACAGGAGGAGATAGTCGTACGTCCATAGCGTTGCGCCTGCAACTGTCATGTACCGATCTATTCTTAGAATCTCTAGCGCCCTAAACAATTCCTCCATCTTGCAAGACGCTGATTAACAAGATAGAGGTGAAAAGGGGGGAGTCGTCAAGTGGGGGGCGTATAAAGAGAGAGAAGGGGAGAGAGGCGTAACACGCTTGTTCTCCTCTCTCTCTAGATAACTATATCAATAATTATTCCGTTTTTCCACCCTGACAGCCCGATGGGAGTGGGTTAGCTTGGATTAGCTTGCCTGCCTGTCGGAAGCGGCCGCCCCGTCCATTAAGCTTACCCATCTTCGAGTCTCCGGTTGCACTGAATTTGGTTTAATCTCTCAAAAAAGGGGGCCAGAAAGAACATTCTCGGTGCCGAGTATTTGTATTTTGGATATAATATATTCCTCCCGGGGACACTTTGGGGTGCACCGGTTACTTAGTATAGTATCGTCTACTTTTTAACGAGTAATAATTTCAGGAGAGAAGAGGTGGGGTGGAGCACAAGAAAGGGTCACTGCAGACCCATAGTTACAACGATCACAAAAATCACCCTTGACGCTACAAGTAAAACACCAGAGAAAAATACATGAGCTCGACTGGGCATTTGTACGGCGGGTTCTGCTCACCTGCTTGTGTTTGGGGTTTGCGCTGCAAATCACATAGAGCTTGCCCTTGCGCTTGACAATCGAACAGCTATCGCAAAACTTGCGTACAGCCGAACGAACTTTCATTCCACGTACTTGAGCCACAGTCGACTGGCCAGTGACGAGTGAGCCAACACTCAGCGAGGTGTTATGCGAGGGTAGTGTTCGCGAGAGCGCGCTAAACGATGCTGCACGAGCATGTTTACATAGAGGACCACAGACGTGTGTTGATTTTGTTTCTACGGCCGCAACTTGTTTTCGCGCGACGGTCGAAAGATTTCGTTGACATGTCGCAGACCGTGCAGGAGATACACTGGCTATTCTCGAGGTCGTTGGAAGTCGTAAAACCCGAAACATGTCGAAATGGAACGTCAAGAACGCCGCGCTGATTTTTGGGCCGTTTTAGGGTCGTTTTTGGTGGACTGGACGTGGTTCAACCTGGAAGCTACCATAACCGGCACAATCCACAGCCAATGAAGGACGGTCTATAGTCTCGACACACTACATATCCCATTATTTCATCGAATTCAGGTCAGCTATTTACTTGTGTTTAGGTGGCCTCCACCTTGATGATCGTACAGATTAGATTTGACACGAAACTATCCATTTAGGAAACCGAGCCAACCGCCACCAATTTACATCTACCACCACTACTTCAAGAATATGCCTCGACATAATCGAGAAACGTCACCTTTAAATCGGACAAGAGAGACTATCCAAACGTCCAGTTTTACTCGAGCGGATAGCGCTGCGAGGAGTTTGAGTACCGGACGCAGCAGTAGCCACCGCCGGACGGCCAGTCAGAGCGAGGTCGCTCCCAAACTTGGAGGTCGTGCTGCATTACTACTCTTTATTGCTATTCTGGTCGCGTTTGTCGTCCAGAGTTCTGCCACTCAGGTGATTATTGTTTGGTCTGCGACAGAAATAGCCGACCTATATTCACGACGCTAACGGTTCCCCACTTGTAGCATGTACAAAACAATTTAGGATTCCGTCATCCATATCTAATATTGTAGGTATCAGTTCTATTCTCGAATCTAGACTATCGTTGACTGGGTTTAGCTTCATTGCACACTCTTGCTTTTCCCTTATCTTTCCAATGCACCTCGCGTTACTCAAGATGGTCTCTGACAAGCCAACATCTTACTACATTTCTTTGATGCTACACACATTCCGCATCAACTTTCCTATCACCACAGACCCAAACGTGAGTGTCACCATATCCTTGTTTGCCCACACTAACCTTTCACCAGGCCTCCCGTTCCGCTTTCCTCACTCAGAAAATAGTAACCACCATCATACTCACGATCGCCATCGCGCTCCCCGGTCTACTATGGTACATTGCTGTCTCCCTCGGCCCCTCCATCAGCGACGTCACCGCTATATGGAACACGAGCGCACTCTGGGCCTACATCCTCTCCGTCGCCATGTTACCCGTCGATTTTGGAACAGAGGCACCCTCGGCTTGGTGGAGGAGATTGGAGTTGCGCAAGTTGGTCGTCATCGCCATGGCATGTGCGGGTGTGGCTGTCGTCGTGTACTCGGGATCCGATGCTTCTTCAGATAAAAAGGATACTTCTGGCGAGAAGAACAAGTCAGAGATATCGGCACCTCTTCTTGGTAATCTGTTGACGGTCCTCGCTTCGGTGCTCTATGCGCTCGTTCAAGTGATGTACAAGAAATACATCGCATTACCGAACGATCCCTCTGAAGCTTCTGTATA